TTCATTCTGGTACGTGTCCTACATCTCAACAATTCGGTCCTGCTGTTTGGTTCGTCCATGATTACATTTTTGACTGTTAATCGGAGTTTTATCTGTATGAACTTCCATTCCTGGTCCAGTGACTTTCTCTAGCTTTTTGAGGACCGCATTTGAGCAGGCATTGCGGATATTGCGTACCAGAGCACTGCTTAACTGACATTTCCGCCATAAATACGAGGTATGCATTCATTGTCTCCCCTATGCTAGGCCGGTTATCTTGGACGATGGAATGTTTGCGTAACGCCTTCTTGCGTTTTCACTTTCGGCACCTGAACTCAAGCTCGTCTCCATGCTGCCTTATGACTTTCTGATTCATAAAATAACCACCAGCACACGTTAGCTTCCTCGGTGACGGAATCATTTTCATAGCAGTAGATAATTACACCCTAGGACTAAATAGTAGTCTGAATATCTAGCAATTCCGTAGATAATGCATTCCCTTGCGTCCTCGGAGTTTGGAGGACTGGACTGCAATGGGGAACACTAACCGCAAAAACTGCACTGTATCCGTTAAATAAATTGTATTAGGTTACATGCAATTATATCCTTATTTTGCAAACAACCTTTTCAAATCCTATCTACTTTGCAATCACGTCCGATAATACTACCTACCAGTTTGCCTTCCACAGTTTACTTGCATGCATTCTCCCTTTAACTCTTGTTTTCTAACCTCCGGGTTCCCGGAGAACTTTTTAAATGTCCTGATTACACGGAGAGCCCATTATGTTTACCTTGTGCATAATCAATGCTACAAGTTACGCATGTACTCCGTATTCTAACTGGCTTCAAATAACGGGTCAGTTACCATTGTTAATTGACTATTTTGTCGTTCCTCCCTAAAATTCTCTTTACTCTGTAGTGCATCTCAACATTTTTCGGCGTTTTCTCGATTTTGCCTCCTTCATCAACTGTCTGGCACGCCTCCTTGGCTTTCGGGAAACGCCACCAATAAAATCCCCATTACCATCATTGTCGTATAAGAGGGGATTTAGCTTCCGTGAGAAGTTGAGCGGCCACACATGTCAGTCATACCCTAAGGCTTAAAGTATTCAAATATACAGTCTTATGCTTGGCTGCTGGTCAGAAACTTTTCCTTACCACATAAACTAAAAAAACTAGTACTGCATCCACGGGATTTCAGCGCAGGAAGTCGATACATACAAAGGCATCCGGACAATTTCGAACTCGCTTCCCTCAAAACTATGCAGAGGAGCTATTCAAAATACATCGAGCGACATGCACTGACTTGGGTATGTTTTCAAAGCGTTTCTCCCAACGTTTCCTCGTGAACATTTGGTACGTTTATTAGACCTCATTTGGAATTAAGAATGTCACGCAGAATCCCTGGATAAAGACAGACAGCGACCACATCGAGCCCTCACAACGACGGGCAGTGAAACAGTTGGGCGGTCTTAGGACACTTTCATGTGTTGAGAGACGGATCAAGTCCAACTTGTTTCTCGTATCCTACAGACAAATGAGCTGCAACGTACTTTGGGCAGTCTGTGTTATCCCCGGACATTATAGTCCGTTCACATCTGAAGGTTTCTTTGAGTTTGCGGACATGAGTCACATGCGCAGTAATCCACACAAGTTCAGACGCAAATGTACTCACCTAAACCAACGAAGGTTTACTGTTAGTCACCGAGTAGTTCGACAGTGAAAATCATTCACAAGTAAAATAACAACGTTTGGCACTACTTGTATCTAAAAGTAGTTAAATTGTTTGATTTTTCGATAATTGACGACTCTCAGTGCACTGCACATAAATACGTACATGAATGACAGTTCGGACGTCTATTTAGATAATGTCCACCGTGTGCTATACGGCAGGTTGAAAACAGGAAGGTTGGCTGGCAAGTGAATTAGTTTATGGTAATAATAGACCTGCACAGCACCAACGGCACCCTCTCCTCTTCCCATTCAGGACTAGCGTTAAGATTTAGTCAAGAAAACCAGAGGAGGGGGAGAGCATAGGTAGCTGGAACGGCCGGACCGCACCTACGTGTACCACCATACGCTCTGGTGCACGACAAACATTTTACCAGGATTTTAACCAATAACAAGAGCCACAGACAGCGCGAACGTAGCCGCTGCTAGGCCTGTCGCTCGGATCCCACTGTGGGAGTGCCGTAGAGGCTACATTAGGGAGGAGTCATTGCAGCCTGACACTCAGACCACCAGTCCGCCATCCCACAAAACCACACACCGGGATGGCAGAGACGTCCGAATTTTTCCATTAGTTGATAGCCTTCCAAGTCAAGGCTTTCGGTGCATCGTCATAACTTTAAGCACGTCAGATTGTTTATAGTGGGGGAACTGCGCTGTGCCGTTCTCAGACCGCAGCCACTATCCGGACCGGTCAGTCGCGGTGAATGGACGCGGTGGCCGACAGAGATAGGAAGAACGTCTGCGCGCGTCACATGCACCACCAGACCTACTAAACGCAAATACCAGGATTTCACACATGAGGGCGACCGAACGCTCCCATTTCACATGTAGCGAACGATCCACGCAAAGTAAGGGGTCGAAAAGACGAGTTCCCACACAAATGAGAGGTGCCGGTGGTCAGGGATTTTTGACGGGCGTGTGCGTGGTGCGGATATGACCGAAGAGGCTCATGCGGTGGCTGAAGGTGCGATGTGTAGACAGTTGAGGCGGGTGCGACGGATGTATTTAGGTGCTTCAGGCGTTAATTCGTTAGTCTCCATGCGATGGATTCGCATGTGGAAGGTGGTGTTGGTGATGATGTTACTTGTGCCACGGTTTTTAATGACATGCGCGTGAGACGATAAGGAAATGATTGGGCTAAATGCAAAAAATGTGCAAGGTGCATAGATAATGCGGAGTATTCCATTGCTGTAGATGGGACCAAAAGGTCAATGTAATGCATGAATGTACGTGGACAGTGAGGATTATGATGGCGGATACGACGAGTGTAGGTTAGTACTCCAGGTACTGGTTCGTCAGTCTGTATGTGATGCACTCAAATGTAACTGCTCAGGCTGACATGTGAGATAAATGTTAATCGCAATGAGGACAGGTAAAGACCGAGGCCATATCGCGGGGGGGGGGGGTCACTGGTGGTGACAATAGTAGATGTTGGGGCGTCGGATGTCGTCTCACCGGTGAGGTACTGTAAAAGATCGTGGTGTTGACAGAGCTGGTTGCTGAGAGCAACGCAGGGGTTGGGGAAGAACGGATGGTGTCGGTGATCGATGGCGGCGGGGCGTGGGCGGTGTGACCACCGGTGATGGGGCTGGTCGCCGTCGTCGTTGCGGCAGGGGCGCTAGTAGAGATGTTCGTGGAAGGAGAATTCGACGTTGTCCTTCAAGGCTAATTCGCGCGTAGAATGTGCGTTGGCAGCGCGGACATGTTGGAAGCGGCTAGCGGTTGTCACTGAGGAGTCGAGGCACTTGTGACTTGCGAGTCCCCCTTTGGTCGTAACGGGCACAATTCGCTTTGCTTTGTGGATTGCTGCTCCAGTCTTCATTGGATTTCTCCCCTCTGACTGGCTTTGTTGAAATCTTCTTTAATCCTCGGATTGATATGTAGACACTGCAGGAACTTCTGCAAGGTATCCTTGCAGCGGCGGATTTGACCCCCGTATCAGCCGGCACCCATGGCGATATCGTCATAAAAGAGTTATCCTGGTCGACATGTACCTTCCGTCCTTACAAGGCGGCCGCTCCAACGCAGTTTTATAATAGTGATAATAATAATGACAAGTAATAATAATAACAACGAAAATAATAATGTATTTTAGGGTAACAGGCAATGCCCTTGATGACCCTATTGAAAACGGGACATAAAATACAAATGTTAAATGTACATCTTACTAAAATTGTGTCAGTAACAAAGTTGTTCACGGAAAACTTTTTCACAATGCGGGACTGCGAAGGGTGCGGCAGGCGGTCTTCTCAGCGTACATATGAAATTTTGGGTGCAGTTATATACAATCAGCATAAAATGCAGTCATTTGCAAAGTTTGAGAGGAGACATTTCATTAAAGTCAGTTGTACTTGCCCCAGCATGACATACATTCTGAGAGTCCCAGTCCGTTCAAGAACTTCCGTATCCGAAATCCTATCCTGCCACTTTAGCTTGAGAATCCATCGGAGACAAATGAGGTGGTTGTGCAGAGGGGAGTTTGCATCTCCTGACACTTGTCTTACAGTTAGCGGGTGACAAAGATCATTTCGGTGGTTGCGCGGTGTCGCCGAAATCCACATTGTCACTCTGGCAGAAGTCTTTGTTCTAGATGACCGCTAAGGCGATTAGGGAAGATGCGGGCGAAGATCTTCCCGGCGAGATCAGATAACGAGATATCTCTGTGGTTATCACAAATTCGTCCGCTCCCTTTGCGCTTGTAGAGACGAACGAGTGTCGCGTTCTTGAAAGACCTGTCCTTGTCGCCGAATCTCCTGAAAGAGTGCTGTGAAGTGATCCACAGTCGATGGCCGCTATGACTGCAGATTTCAACCGGAATTGCATCGGAGTCTGGCGCTTTTCCCCTGGGCAGTTATAACACGCCACGAATGGTTTTTGGGAGAGATAGAGGGAACGGAAGATCGAGGTCGATGTCGATTTCCACTTCGAAAAGCTGATCAATGGCGGCATCGGAGAGTGTGGAGGAACGGCTGATGACGTTTCCGAAGTGCTCAACATAGCACTTCAGAATCTGAGACTTCTCCGTCAGAAGTGATCCAGCAGAACTGAGAGGCGGAAAAGTTCCTCGGATTGCGGAGTCGTAGATCGTCTTGATCGAATCGAAGAAGTTCCTTGATTCGTTGCAGTCGGCATATCACTGGTTTCCTCGGCCTTGCGAGTGATTCGAGTATCCTGCGTTCCTCACAGTCGTTACTACGCAAGGCGGGGACATTGGTAGAAGGTTACTTTGTTTACGACGGTTGGGCGGTCGATGTAGGCTCTGTGCAGCCGGTCGTTTTCGACAGGCAGCCCTAGTGTTGGCAATGTGAGGAACCAAAGACGAAGAAGGCAAGGCCAGCGGCGCGTCGCTCTGCCTTTGGACGGCCACTCCAGAAGTGGGCACCCAACTCATCCAGTTTGCCCTGTTTAGCGAAGAGAATCTCGCTGAAAACAGCAGTATCCGCCTTCTGGAAAGCCAATTTTTGAGCGAGTATCGCCGTCCTTAGTTCGATTTGGTTGCCATTAGGATTGTCCAGAGGGGACAAACATTCCAGGCTGCCAGAGTGATCTGAGTCGCCCTGAGATGGGGCAGAGGGGAAGCGGAAGATGAAAAGAGATGTTGTTGTTCGTTGTTGTTTTTCGACTCTGAGGCTTGGCATAAATGCTCGGTTATGGTGGTTGGCGAAGTTTAATATCCTCAACTAAATACTAACGGTCAGGACATAAATGTGGCTGAAGTCATTCAGAATCTGGGTGGTTCATACTTCAGGGGTCTTAATCTTTCGAAGCACTGGGCCCTTATATTCTATAAAGCACGCATAACTGTCGGGTGTGCCGTTTAAAATTTTAAATTTAAACGATATTATAATAAGCCCTAATAAAATGTACGTTACACCCAGCTTGGCATACTGTTCATTTCTTTTTAGCCACATGCAAGCCGGGGCAGACGGGGTTAAGCTCTGGCAAGTCATTAAGGATCCAAACGACCAGAGATTCCTTAAAGATTATCTGCACCGACTGCAAGCATGGTCGGAGAAATGGCTTCTAGATTTTAATGTGCAGAAGTGTGCCGTCCTTCATCTGCGTCCCACCAACTCTCATTCAAATGACAGCCTGAGGACATATCACCTGAAAGATATAAGACACCCTGCAGAATCTCTACAGAAGGATATCTGGGTTTGAATAGAGAACAACCTGAAACTAACACTGCAGTGCCACAAGGCTGCAAAAAACGTCATAGGAGTGCTGCATGTAATCAAAAAGGCGTCCGTAACATTTGACCAAGAGCTTTTTGAGAGAGTTTACGGCACCTTTGTTCGACCCTACTTAGAATATAGCCTACAAGCGTGACGGCCATGGCTAGTAAAAGACCAAGCATGCCTCGGACGGGTACGACGTCGTGCAACAAACCTGGTGGACGGGTTAAAAAGCCAACCCTACACAGACAGACTAAATTGCCTTAATTTATTCCCTCTGTGTTACAGGCAGCAAAGGGGTGATCTTATCCTCATCTACAAGATAATGTATGGCCTTGAGCTTGGACTTAGCTTTGAGGACATGTTTCAGTAGCACCCTTCACCCGATCGTCGTGGTCACTCAATGAAGTTACGGACACAAATATCGAGGCTGAATCTTCGTTCTGAAGTTTTCACGCAGAGGGTAGTGGAGAAATGGAACGATCTCCCTCGATCGGTCGTGGAGGCGACATCTCTGCAACTCTTCAAGAAACGCTTGGATGATTATTTGTGTCCCCTGTTTTCCCTCGACAGTCTGAATCTGAACTAAATGCTCCACGATTCCCCAAACTTTTTCTCTGAGACAATGCTACTCAAATGAATCAAGTACCGTTTTAATAGTGAATGTTTTCACTGCTCGTGTACAGTTATTTCTAACGAACTGAGGGTTTCAATAGGGTTTTCAAAGGCTTTGCCTATTATCCTTACCAAATAATCTAAACTGAAAAAAATGTGACTTACCAAGAACGTTGCAGTCCACGGTGCTCCACACTTCAGGGTTACGTATGACTGGTTGATGACAGCTAAAAAGCCAGAACTGGCCATTTCGATCTTCCATGTCTTTGTTGGCAATGCTATTGTCTATATCATGCATCTCTATGCGGCTGCTCGTTGGGCTAGAGAGAGAGAGCCCTAAGGCACAACGGAACGAGTGAGTTTCGTAACACGATCGGCGAGGGCCCCTCTACCATTATATGTATGTATAAACATGTATAAAAAATGATGAAATACATGTTCAGATGCCCAATTCTTCAAAAACGTTTATGCTGGACTAATCCGCAATCCACTAGCTTTTTCACCTATCGAAAAGCATGATCCAAATGTTTGCGTTAAGGCTGCACACTAACGTTCTACACGGAACTAAGCTGTAGAAGCCGCTTGAAAACTGGATGCTCGCAGCTTATTTGTGGCCGTTTTATTTGGCCAAATTACTGATTTCCTCATGAGAAGTGGGAGACCATCTTTGAGGTGGGAATTGTATTCGACTGATGTTCCAGTTTCACAGTGAAGTCCAGCAGCAGAGACAGCAACCGATGAGGACTTTGGATGCAAAAATGCTCTAACACTTATAAAATGCAATCATTAGGGCGCAAGCTCCCTTATCTCTCTCTCTCTCTCATGCTGCGTAGATTGTTCGGCTTCTGCATCCAGGTTGAACATTGTTTTAATTTCACTATGTTTCGGTTATTGGTGTGAGGCCTACTCATCCGTTTGGTTCACAAGTACCGGAGGAGAGCCTACTTTCGGACCCTGCGTGGTTAACTGTTCTGCCTAGGAAAGGTTTTAAGGCTGAAAATGCACTCTTGTTCTCTGTGAAACGGCGACCTACGACTCAAGAAGCCGGCGTTTTAAAACGACAAAAAGTGTTAGTGCGCCCAGGATTTTCGTGTTTAACACTTTGTTTGACTGAAAACATTAAACTTTGACTAGGAAATCGCCAAGATCGGTCCGGACAGTGCCCAAAATTCCGTTGAAAAGGTAGGTCGGGCTAAATAAGGATAAAAACAGGATTTTCACAAAACATTTAAAAAATCCAAGTAGTTGCCTAAATTTAGGAATCACAGTTGCCTGACATGAACGTATACTGATGACTTAACTTTTATCGGTGGACAAATAGCACCTCCACATCAATTTGTAAAACTGAAAATTCAAACTGAGAAACCGTCGTTAAACTCATTGCTAACCTTGGTACAGAGTTTTACCAACCGCGCTTGCGTTAGTGTCGTTGTTTGAGTAAGCGGGTTTTCACTTCATCATCATATTTGCTTGCTGTTTGTTTGACATGCAGTTGCAAGCAGAAAAGCGCAAGACTAAAAAAAGCTTATGTTTGGAAAGGCAGAATAAGTGGATCTCGAGTCCAGGAGTTAAACTTTTAACGGACGTAATGTAAAAACGAACCGTCGAATATAAAGAGTCGCCTATTTTGCACAACAACATTGTAAAACCCCAATATTTGCACGGACTACGTTCCCACACTACCACAGGTTTCGACAATGCGTGAGTTTCGGATGGACAACTTAAAATCGCCCATAAATACCTACTTTGATATGTTAAACACTAAATGTGTCTTCGAAAAGCCTCACCTTCATTTAAAAACTGATGTTATAATTTACATGGTTCTTTAAAATTTTACACATCCAGCACTTTACTGAGACGTACATGTATTGAGACACCCTAAATACTGTACGTACATGTACAGTAGGCGGGTTAACTCATGAAATGTCAACAGAAATTCCGAAATGCGTTTTCGTTTCGAAAAGAAAAATTAAGTAGGGTTGTAAAACCAATCATCGTGCAGCATAATTCGGTGCCTCAATTACCTCAATAAGCCGGCTTTCGAACGAACTTATTACCGACTGCATCCAAAAACCATACTCCGTAAAAAGTTACTACTAATATACCATGCATTTTTTCATTGACTTTCGATGCTCTTAAAGATTTCAGTATATTTAATGGAAACATGAATAAAAATATTTATTCTTTTGCTCATTCAGTAGAAAACTGCATCTTTCAATGTTTTACTCGAGGGAAGGGTATAATTTAATTTGAAAAAAGTTCCTAATTGCAAGATATTTCAATACCTTTAAATGCCTGCTTATAAAACATTTTGTCTCTATATTTACCAATGTGGCTTGTAAAGTTATCAATGCGGCTCAGATGCATTGTTTAATTTTATAAACTCCATATAGTTCCCTCTTAATACGGTAGATAAATGTATGGTTTTCCGTGCGCGGAAATTATACAGCTTGTAATTTGGGAACCCTGAATGCAAGTGTAAGGGCACGTCGGGTTCAAAATTAGTCGGGAATTGGAACAGTTTTATAAAACCAAATTATAACCTTCTTCTGAGTGTAAAATTGAAAGAAAACGTAATTTCCACTGATTGAGCGAAATAATAAATATTTTTATGCATGATTTCCATGAGAAATAATGGAATTTGTCCTCTGTCACCCAATGCCCGCCCACGTCTTCTCAGGGGGCTGAACTCTTGTGAGGACATTTTATGAGCTTGGTTCTAAGAATGAAGCACATGGGTCGTGAAGCTGCAGACTCGTAATCGCGAATTTTCGGGTTAGCACTGTATAAGTTAACACAGGACAAACCGATTGCCCTTTAAAAAGACTTTCCGACAAGTTGAAAAACGAGTGTGTTTTTGAGTGGCGCCATGGTTTGTTATTCCCAGACGCGACGTAAGACCCAAAATTATTTCTGTCCTTCTCTCCTGTCGGGCAAGGCATTTTGGATACTAACCCAACAAAATCGTCTCAAGCTTTCCTTTGCTTGGTCTCTCTGTCTCCCGCAAAGTCGACTTATGCTCCCATGGCAAAGTGCGACCCGAACACACACTAGGCTTCTGGCAAGCGGAATAACCGTTTTTATTCCGTGGGCACCTGATCAGAGACAAAAACACACTGAAGGTCAGTGGAACGCCAGGACTCTTTGACACAAGGGGCAACATTTGTACAGCAGAATCACTCCAGTCTGTGCGGCTGCTTTAGATTGTACATTTTTGAAAATGAATACGTTGTGCGGCTCAGGCAAGGGAGCTGATAACGGCTCAATCAGACTATCGAAATCTCTCAGTTCCAGCTTAGTCAGCAGTAAATCACTTTCTAGACTTATTAAATATTTCGATCGTACAGTGACAATTACTGCGAACTGGGGAATTTGAAGGTACGAAGGTGGCAGCGCGTACGTGCTGAATGTAAACTACAGAACCATACTTTGGCACTCACTGGGTTACGGAGAATTATACTGTATCTTTTAATTCGGCAGATTGTTGCTAAGTCATAAAAATGGGGTTGGAAGGAGAGATCCAAGTGCGGTAGTCCATCGATACATAGCGGTTTGACTTTGGAGACTTCACTCTATCGCGAATTTTATATCCAAACACAGCTAGATATACATCGCGGATTTTTTTTGTAGGTTTCCACCGCCACTGTAGTGCGCCTTTCCTCGATGTATTTATCCAGCTTCATACACGGGACGCTATCGGTCGAAAAGATACGTACTGACGGCACGCGGTTAAGTCTATCTTAATATCAACGAATATTACTGAGCATTTAAGAGATTATAAAGTGTTTATGTTATAATAAATTCAGTGATGAATTTTTCACAAGAATGTGGGAAGGGGGTTATTAGTG